AAGCAAATGCAGTGGGAATATCAAGCTTCGAACATGTAAAAAAATAAGTGAAACAATGCAGGAACATATATATATATATATATATATATATAGCTTAACTTAGCATATATCAAGCTTAAAAAACTATTTGCTTTACACCAGACATTAAAGCCAATCCATCCTGACTGAGCAATAGGGAGGTGTCGAGGGCATTGCAATTTTCATAGCAGTCCTGTAACTCAGGAGACCCCCTCCTGACATTATCTGGATATCAAACACCAATTTGCCACTCATAAACACCAGCATAAATGTGAGAGCATCGGGCCAAATCCAATAAAAAAAAAGGGCTGTTGTGAATTGTCGCAGCACGACACACATAGAACTAGGCCCACTTCATCATCCTGATAGGATATGATGTGGTTTATAGTATTATCCTGGATGGATAATGGGATTTGGATGCTTATTGGGACACTGTGTGGGTGTGAATACAGGCTAGGAGTAACACATTAGAACAAAGGAAGAGACTTTTGAGATAACATCGAGCAATTGCAACTGGGGAGGACAGACTGAGACACAACTGGAAGTCACAATGTGCCCTCACTGTGAGTCACTGTAAAAAGACTGTGGTGTCAAGAGCAAGCAACACCTCAGGGTTATTTTTTTCCACTCAAACCTGTTTCTTAAAACATCCAGGAGCTCCTGCATCTACTGACAACGACAGAAACTTCTGCAAAGCTGTGTCTGATGTGATAAAATAGGAGTGGGTGTCCTTCATTCACCAAACAGAGACCCCTAGATGTTTGACTTGGAGATATTCGGTTGTTCCTATTCAAATGTCAAAACCCAACATAATGGTTTGGAAACACACGGGTTTTCATGGGACCAGGCTACAAAAGGGCAACATTGCAGTTCACGGCTGACGAGCCACTGATGACAAACTCCTCTGGCAGACATTGTACAGCAGCTGCATCTGCCAGTTCTAGGATCGATGTTAAAGTCGTGTAATAGCACAGATGCATCCTGAAGTGTTGAGACTCAAATTGATGCCAAGATCTCTGCCCTCAGAGGGCTGCCATTCTGTTTGTTTCAATTTCATCCCAGCCTCTTGGCTTCTGACTGTCATAAAGGGGGAACAAGGAGACGCTGTGAGATAACGGAGTGTGAGAAAAAGGGGACACTAAAGATTTTACCGTCCTTCTATACTTCCATTATCCTCCTTTCCAAAACCATCCATGCCTAACTGAGCCTGAGACATGATGATACTTTTCTTTACAGGCTCCATGGATACGATTGAGCTTGAGTTTGAGTTTACTTCTTTTTTCCTCCGGGCCATAAGAGCCTACTAGTTGTATCAGGCAGGGTGGTATCATCTATCACTTAGAGACTTTATTGGTTGGAGTATCAGACTTTAATGTTTGTTTGGTCCCAACCGCATTCTCCAAAACTGTATTAAAGCCCAGTGTGGACTTTCGGTTTGAGCTTATAATTCTGTTACATAATTCACTGACCAGTCCTGAACCCAATAAAAAGTAACTCAAGACTGTTTTTTTATTTTGTTTTTAACTGAAACAAACTTTTAATAAGCATGCTAGGCTTTAAATCTTTAATTGAGGACAGAACTGAATAAACTCCACCCCCATAAGTGGTTAGTGCACTTCCTGAAAATGTAGTAAAATTAAAAGCTGGAGTTTAGTAATTCCTATTGACATGAATTATGTAACAGGTAAAAGGATAAAGCAAAGACTTATAGTGTTTTCTCATCCAGACTTAAATATATTAGCTGAACATAAGCAAACTTAGAAGCTGATGCTTGCAGCACTGAAAAGTTTGGACAGAAGCAAAGTAAGGATACAAAAGTTTGAAAGGTAAAAGCAAAATTCAGACCAGTGCTTTGCTAAGATGGTTACACAGTTACAGGGTTGAATAATTTGACACTAGTTATTTATATAAATAGTAAATAGAACAGGACCCAATATGAATCCCTGGGGGATGCCTTAACGAGTAATCCCAGCTTTAAAAAAGTGGAAATTATATTTTTTTTTATAATTGCAATGTAGATGTGAACATAAGGCCTGTACCATCAAATCTTACTCAGGAGAGAGGTCTTTTTCTGAGTCTATTTTTATCCCCTCCAAACTGTAGAAATCTTTCAAGTAGTCATTTCAGTTTTTACACAAAGCCATGATTTAAAAAGTCACTGACAGCACCCTGGAAAATACAAGTTTTTTTCACTCCCAATAGACATAATGAATCCACAACAACATTTTCAGTTATTGGCCACATTTATATGATTTGTTTCACATATAAAGTAAAATAGCATGCCAAAAATAATCAAATGCTTTACCATCTTTTTCTTACTATGACCTAAGAACACTGCACCTTTATTGTGTAACAAAAACCTATAAGAACACCTGTCCTGAAAAGTTGAATGAGGACCAAACAGTGAAGCATCCAGAGTTGTTAAAACTTCAATTCCAGGCTGACATTCAGGACCAGAGGCGACCAAACTGAACAAAAGAGACTCTTTCAAAGCAGATGTGATGATCTGTGACTTATTTCAGCACCAAGTCCCACATATTTTGTCTTTTGTACCTAAAGTCGTTCTCCCACTGCGACATTCTCTTTTTATTTCCCAGAAGTCAGAAGTAATTTCATCATCAAAGCACTTTGTTCAAATATGACGCCACATATTTTCACATGAAAAAAGTTGCTTCTTTGTTCTCAGAGCCTAATGGTGATTACAGAGGGAAAAAGAGCTGAATGGCTTAAAGCTGAAAAAGTGTCCAATTCTGGGTTTTTAAATGACACTGCAGATCATGCTCTTTTTAACTAATAAATATGAATAGCAATACAAAAAATATTTTCTGAAATTTCTAACTACAGGAAAATATATACTGGCATGCCAGAATCTTATTTAAAGTCTGATTAAATTTTATATATATTTTATATATCTGTCAAAACAATGCATTTTTACTTTTTCAGACTTAAATTAAAAAGTTTGATTACAAGATATTACAAAGCTTGCCAAAATCACTACCACTGGTGGTACATTGTAAAATGGAAACGCTGCAAATTAAGTACATCAAAAATAACATTCGCTTTTTGAATAATATGTTAGGTTGCTTCATACAAAATGCTGTGGTATAACCTATTTCCAAGCTAAATGTGAACAAAGTGTCCTGACAAATCAGCAGTGATCCTTAAGAAGACTGATGGATTCAGTTAGGGCAAATAATTTGTTTTAAATTGCCATTGCTTCTTGCTGGTTTTGTGTATCTGCTGCTAACAAGTTGCCTCTGGTTCCTAGCAGGACTGCTGAGCCTGTTGATTGGTGAAGTTAAATCGCTAACAACTGTGGCAGGGAGCTGCGTGAACTCCATTATTGTTCACTTGAGTGGATGAAGAGAGAACTAATGAATTATAGCTGTGGGTGAAAGACTGAATGGATTTCCATTATACAAACTGTTTGACGCTGCCCAGCCTATGCTGCTGGATTTGGAGTAAAGTCAAACTTTGAGTATCAATTCAGCACGTAGTTTAATAGCACAATAACAACCAGTTAAATGAATGAGCCGACACAATTTTGATCAGAATAAATAAATTAGGACTGTCAAACGATTAAATGATTTAATCTGATTAATCACAGGGTGGATTAATCACAATTAATTACTGTTATTTTTGATCATAGCTAATAATGGATAAATTGGGATAAATAAACATTCCTCAATATGACAACAAATATTTTGGTTATTGTTGTAATAGTAAAACACAACAGCAGAAGGTAGGTATATGTGCTTTTATTTGTGATTAATGTGAGTTGTAATTCTGACCAGGTGCTAAAACTTAATTAATCTGATTAATTTCACAAATTAATTACAATGGTTATTGTGTTAATTTTGACAGACCCTAAATAAATGTATATATACATCTGTCTTTTTCTGTCACCTAATGAAAAGTTAGGGTTAGTATTTGACTCTTATTGCTTATGTTATTGTTAAAACCGTATGTCTGGCAATTTTGGTTGACCACTGAGATTGCAAGGATTGCTGAATTTGTTATATAAAGAGATAATTTAATATAAAAGACAATTATCAAACATCTTGATTTCTTTGATAATCAACTGGAACATAACCTGTGTGTCATTTTCACAACTGGGGACTTTTCGCAGTACGATTTACCCTGTGATAGTTCTCCTCTTAATATACTGGAACGTATTAGGTCATTATGGGCAATGGTGCATATCAGTGAGCAGGAATACTTTATGGCTTCCTGGTTGTTCTTTCCATTAAATGTTTCTATTTTAATCATATGGATATGTAGTATATTGCCTTGTGCATTGATAGTGCAGTGTGTAATGACATTAATCACAAAAAAGTGGTCTCTAACTTTACCGTTTTGCCCTAATGCTCTTGGCTTTGTGCTCCTATTATCAGCTCACTAACTACAGATGATTAAAGCATAAAAGCAGAGTCAGAGATGAAGGATAAAAAGCAATGGTGAGCTTGAGTGTTGAATTGGAAGTGGATAATCTCTCCAGGATTCCATTTTATTTGACTCACTCTTGTGGTGAAGCTTTACCAGAAGACGGAATCAAATGAAATAATAAAATAAAATATTACTATAGTACTACCTGGTATTATAATATATGGAGTCTAAAGACCATTTAGTACTACAGAAAAGAATTAAATCAGTTTCCCTGCTAAAGTTGGAGGGGGAAACATTGGTGCCATTTCGTCAGAGTTAAAAGTGATCAACGATCCTTCCACTCACTGGTTTATAAAAGCTATTGCAGCCAAAAAGCTTTAGCTTTATAAGCTGCTGAACTGCAGTAAGTGCATCGTTATTCAACTGGCAGAAATGACCTGAAACATCCACATTCTGGTAAAGCCTGAGACTACAACAAAATGATTGAAATCACAGATTATTCAGCCATTTGTGTTGGATATTCTAAATTGGCTTCTATTTAGTAATCATAGTGTATGTGTTGTCCTGTGGTGGAGTTTTTGTTATTATAAAGCTACCTCATTGAAGATAATCGTGTTATTTTTTATCTTCTGTGGTCGACTCTTCCACGTTCTCCCAAAGAAGTGCTGGTGGCTTTCATCAAACAGTGTCAGCCGCAGCTGGTAGGTCAAGTGCTGTTCCACATCTTGTGTCTCCTGTGATAAAAGATACATCTGCGTCAGAGATGCCTAATGGTAATACCAGCCAAATAATGCAAAATCCTTCCAATCCGGTCTGGCAAGTGAGTCCAGACCGGGAATCATCAACCTTTATTAAACTGAGAACTACGTCAACGGTACTGAAAAATACAAAGAGCTACGTCTTTGATACACACTTGAATAATAATAACAAAACAATTGGGAAAGTCTTGTGTTGGTCTGCTGCAGGAGACTGCCCCCTGCAGACACCAAGTATTTCGTTCCTCTTGGGATTAAACCCAGGACTACCTGCCCTATGCTGCAGAGGCAGGCGTGCTAACCGCTACACTGTGGATCAATCAAAGTGACGTTTAAGTGCCTGTTGTTGACTAGTTTTAGAACGTATTCCATATTTGTGTCATCATAGGCCCATATTCTTGATACGTTAACAATTAATCGAAGTCAGCATGCTTATCTCCGCATCTTAGTTACTTTTTAAGTGAGTTACAACACTAATTTAATACTAATTGGTGTGTGCGGACAGTCACCTGAGGGAGGTGAGCTGCAGTGACCCGGCTGAAGCTGAGCTGGAAGCCCCGAGACTGGGTGAGGTGGTTGTCCACAGCCAGGCGAGCAGTCTGGCTGAGTGGAGGTAGAACTCGGTTTTTCTCGAAAGATTCGCTCCAGCTGTCCGCCATTGTGGACACGTCGCTTGCTTTGACCATTGTTATATTTTAATAATAGGAAGAATATGCACACAACAAAGCAAGCGTTTAGAAATGGAATTAGTCTATCCGTGGCTTTCATGTTTTGAACAGTGTCGCCATATTGAAATTGGAATGTGACATTCTTCACCAGAGGGTTACTCAGACGAAAGAATTTTTGTATTCAGAAAATTCAATGAAACAAAAGAATGAATAAAAATGTCATTGTAAACTGACAGCTCAGTTTATTAATATAAGATTATTATATATCGAAGACCAGACGTATATATTTACTATCATAGGTCGTCTTTGAATATTTTCCCCGTATATTTGGTATGTCCCGAAATGCTGCGTCAGTTGCTATGGTAATGGCAGCCTCGGTTGCATATATGTACGCCGTTTTAGCTTCCTGTCAGACGGACTTTTCAGAAGGAAAACAAAGTTATACTGGTCGTTGTTTTTACTTTCCAGCAAACCAGAGTCCATTGAGAAAAACGGCAAGTTTATCTGGAGGAATACGTGAGTCGCTGGTCTACGTATTTACGAATTTGCTTTTGTATTTTCACGGCGTACATGGTTGCAGTGACTTTCCTGTTCTTTGTGATTTATCTTTAAAATAGTCAGCCCTCGCCAATGTCCAATGCCAATACCAAACATTGTATGGTATTTTTCACCATCGGACCGACAGAGGCTCAGTTTCGTTGTATCCCGGTGTTACAATGACACTAAAGACCATAAAACATTTTTAAAATGACACGCAAAAGTAAGAATTTTAGAAGAAATTTAAAAGTATGTCTTTTTCGAAACATTTCTCAAAATGCTCTATTTTGATGAGAAACATGCAGATATCCTAGAATTTTGAAGTTTTTTCCAAAGATTTTCAACATAATTTTTCACCATCTGACCAACATGACACACTAAGTAAGATTTTTGGAAAAAATTCAAAACATTTTTTTCAAACAAAATTCTCAAAATGCTCTTATTTGATGAGAAACATGCAGATATCCTAAAATTTTGATTTTTTTTCCCAAAGATTTTCATCATAATTTTTTAAAAGATTTCTTAAAATACTCAAGTTTTGAGAAACATGCCGAGATCCTAAAATACTGTATAAAAAAAATTCCAAACATTTTCATGATAATTTTTCACCATCGGACCAACATGACACGCAAAGAATGATTTTTCAGAAAAATTCAAAAATATTTTTTCTAAAAAAATTCTCAAAATGCTCTTATTTGATGATAAACATGTAGATATAATTTTCCAAACATTTTCTTAATTTTCCCAAAAAAAAAATTTTTTTAAATTTCTCAAAATGCTCTAATTTTATAACATACAACATTTTCATGATCATTTTTCTTAATGTTATTTTTTATGATGAAACTTTGTGGAAAAAAGATCAAAATTTTAGAATATCTGCATGTTTCTTATCCAACTAGAGCGTTTTGAAAAATTTTTTTTAAAAGCTTTTTTTTTAATTTTTCAAAAAACCTTACTTTTGCGTGTCATGTTGGTTAGATGGTGAAAAATTATGATGAAAATGCTCGGATTTTTTTTTTTAATTTTTTGAAAAATCTTACTTTTGCGTATCATGTTGGTCAGATGGTAAAGAAGTATGATGAAAATCTTTGGAAAACGTTTTTTCTAAATTTTAGGATATCTGCATGTCTCTCATCAAATAAGAGCATTTTGACAAATTTCTTAGAAAAAAAAAATTTGCATTTTTTTTCCAAAGATTTTCATCCTAATTTTTCACCATCTAACCATGCAAGTTTATGTCGCAACTCATGCTGCCAAGTAAATCATTTCTGCTAAAAACTAAAACTTAAAAATATTTTATCTGAATATTTCAAAATATCACCAAAAACATGCCTTACCTTCCCAAAAAAGTGCAAAAAATTAAAAGTCCCAAAAATGCATCAAAATGCAAATTTATGTTGCAAAATATGGTGCTAAGTGAATAATTTGTGCTAAACACACCAAAAAATATTTCATCTGAAAATTTCAAAATATCACCAAAAACATGACTTTCTATAGCCTTACCTTCCCAAAAAAGTGCAAAAAATAAAAAGTCCCAAAATTGCATCAAAATGCAAGTTTATGTTGCAAAACATGGAGTCAAGTGAAACATTTGTGCTAAAAACTCCAAAAAATATTTATCTGAATATTTCAAAATATCACCAAAAACACGCCTTACTATAGCCTTACTTCTCAAAAAAGTGCAAAAAATAAAAAGTTCCAGAAATGCATCAAAATGCAAGTTTATTTGGCAAAACATGCTGCCAAGTGACATTTAAACACAAAAGAATC